CTCACCCCTCCCTCATCCACTCCCCTACTGCCCCCCCCCCACTTGCAGCGGCCGTAGGCCTGGTCCCTGCCAGAGACCTTCAGTGTCTGAGGACCATGTGTGACTCTCCTGTAGTGGCCCTGACAGCCTGGATCCTTGCAGGAAACCAGCACTGGTTGGAGGCTTTAGTGTCTGCTGAGGCCCCCCGAAGGTGACTGGGGAGGGTGGAGCCTGGCCCTGCCACCGGCCTAAAACAGGATCACAGGAGAGGAGAGTGGTGGCAGCCCTGGGATATGGAAGCCTGAGATCCCAACAGTGACTTCCACTTGTGCTGCACCGGCTCTGGATCCCCTGTGGGCTCCACAGCCCAGGCCTCAGGGACAGTCACCCCCCTCCACTTCCTCCTGCCACAGATGGAGGCTCCTTCTGCTTGGTCAGGTGGGGCCAAGGCCAGGGCTGCTGGGGCAGTGGGTTTGGGGATGAACGCCTCCTCCCTGAGCCTCTGCCCCACTCCGTCCCACGAGGGGAAGACACGGCTGCCCTGGGATTCCAGAGACCATGGTGCTTGGCTCAGTGTCTGCCTGGCAGGCGGTCAGTGTGTGAGGCAGGCAGCTGCGGGGGGCAGGAGGAACAGGGTGCTGATGGCAACAGGTACGGGCAACCCCATGCCGCCCCTGCTTGCGTGCTCTAATGAGCCTGCTTTTTGTGCAGTGTAATGAGGCTGCCTCAGCAGCTCCCGCTGTCAGTCCAAGGACAAAGAGCTCCTTGGAAAAGCTGTCAAAACAGCATTATTCCCTGCGTGCCATGGGTCCCAACACTGGCTGTCACCACATTCCATGGATCCTGTGGCTGAGGGAGCAGCCAAGCGCATATCTCTCATACATGACAACTCGAGGAGGGGGGAAACTTGGGAAGAAACAATTTGATTTGCTGGGATGTCCCATGGATGGCCTGGGACTTAGCAGCTCTGCAGGGCTTTGTTCCCAGGTCCACCAGGCTCAGTGACGCCACTTCCTGCCCCAGGTCCCCACTTCCTGGGAGCCCCCAGAGCCCAGAGGCCCCCACTCCTAAGAGCTGCGATAAAGCCACTGACTGATGGTAGCATCCTTGGCCCAAGGAACGACCCGGCTCTCCGTGGACAGCCATGGAGAGACCTCTGTCACTTCTCCCCGGAGCGGAGGGCACAGGAGCCAGACATCCGTGCCCAGAGGAGAGACGCCAGGGTTTAGACCTAGAGCACCTCGAATGTCTCTTGCATTTAGAGGAGGCCTTGGAGGTGCCTGGATCGTGGGGTGCTGTGCGCCTCAGGTTTCACTGCGGGTGAGCTCGAGGCCAAATGCGCTGTGGTTGAGGCTTGGTTGGAGGTGGTCACTGGGGTGTGATCTGGAAGGATGTGTTCTTGCCCTCTTTCTCTCTGCTTCCTGTTTCTACCTGGGGGAAACTGAGGCCTGGAAGGGGTTCTGAAGGGTGTGTAGCTACAGGTCTGAGGATGTTCGGCCCTGGACCCCTCAGGGTTTCAAAAGCCATCCTGCTGGAGCCTCCACCACTCTGGGGTCCCATGGGGTGAGGACTTGAGGGGCTGGGGACGGGGGTGGGGGGCGCTCACCAGAACATGTGGTCTTTGGTCACATGCTCCTGCAGAAGCGTCCACTTCTTCCCCAGGTCAGACGACACATAGAGCTTCAGGGCAGAAAAACAAAACAAAAGTCTGCTTAGGACATCAGGAATGAGCCACTTCTGAGAGGGTGACCTCCCGCTGCAGTGGACACCACGAGGGCCTGTCCTGTCCCACAGACTCAGAGACTGCGGGAAACAGACGAACCACAGGGCTGATGTGGAAAGGGGGCTCCATGCCCAGCCAGCTCGCCCCCAGGTTACCTGGCAGAATCAGGACTGGGGCCTCTCGGGTGAAATCTGGGGAGGCCTCCACAAGGAGGTGTGCCAGAGCCCGGAGCCCAGAAAGACTGCACAGTACCTGAGTGAGGGCGGAGGGGAAGCAGGAGGAGGCACAGTGCATATGCAGGCTGTCCCTGGGGTCCCTTCTTCCTATGCTGGCCACCCTCTGGGCCTGAATGTCCGCCCGCCCTGGACCAGGGCCCCTGAGCCCCAAGGGGTGGCATTAACAGCACAGATCCAACACAGTGGCGGGTCCAGAGAGACCACAAAAGGAGGAGGAAGGTTCCTCCTGAGTTTTGAGTATTTTCCATTTTGCCACCCAACTTCCACAGGAGGTGGGGAGCTGGAGCCAGGGGGTGCAATTTGGGGCCATCTGGGGGCACAGAGGAGTGGACAGTCCAGCTGGGCAGGCTCCAGAGGTGTGGGCGGGCAAGGAGGTGGCCCTAGGGGCAGTGAACAGATCTGGGGAAGGAGGTGGCTGGGGCTCTGCTGTGCCCGGGGCTCTGCCAGATGCCCTGGTGCAGGCTGCATCGAAGTGACCTTTGGGGGCTCCCAGTGGAGTCACTGAGTCCCTAGGGAAGCCCTGAAGCTGCTCCCTCCCACGTTTTCCTGTGCACGAGGCCCCTCCTCTGCTGTGACAGTCTGAGGGGGACCTGAGGTGCCCTGGGAGGAGGGGCCACCTCTAGGGGTGGGCATAGGGCGGTGGTCAGGGAATAGAGCCCTCCATGCCACCCAGCCCCACCAGGCTGGGACCCAGTCACTCCACGTTCTATGGGAAGCTATGGAGTTTGCAAGACCCTGGAGAACACAGCACTGGAACAGAGGGGACATCAGAAGCAGTGGGTGACCCGTTCCTCCCTGTCTTCTCTGAAGCAGGTGGGGAAACCCAGGTGGAGCCCTCTGGCCAGGATGCCACATGGGACCCCGATGAAGACTGAACTGGGGCCTGGTTGAGCCCTGTACGTGCCCGTGAGACGCCCTCCCCTGACACTCTGCCTGTGCCCACACTTCCTCCAGGCCTGGCACGAAGACACACAGGCTCCCCAGTCCTGCTTGCGCCCCTGCAGGCTCTGAGCCTCGCCAAGCTGGCACTGAACAGCTCAGCTACACTTTCTCTTGAGCATCTGAAATGCCACGGGGAGGAGTGGCACCGCCTTTCCGCAGGCTCTTGCCCAGTTCTCTGCCCGCTCCACAGCCTGGTGCCTCCATGACACTGTCCCCACGGGCAGCACCAGGCCCTGGAGGCTCAGAGAAGCCTGGATGCCAAGCATCATGGGACACCACAGAGGCCCCAGAGTCCTGAGCGGTGTGGGCTGTGCCTCAGCCGCATGGGCGCCCGCCCCCTTCCTTCCTCCAGCGCCCCCAGAGTCTTGGTGGCAATCCCACATGGCATCCCTCTGCCCAGGTCCCCGGTGCCTGGCAGGACATGAGGGCTGCTGGCAGCAGGCTGGCTGGGGAAGCAGGAGGTGCCCAGGCGCTGTGAGGGCCAGGGCTGTGGCTTCACTGTGGTTGCAGAAGTTCATGGGATGGAACTCAATCCTCAAAAGTTCTGGCTTCTGGGAGGGAACAGGGGTCAGAGCAGGTCAGGAGGGGCCCCTAGGATAGCGCTGGTGGCCTTAAAGTGGAGGAGAGACCCAAGAGGCAGGTGGCCCTGTCCTTGGTTACCTGAGCCAGATAACAATTTAGTTCAAGGCCCTGCCAATGCCCAGTGAGCCAGGCGCGTGGACCCCCCCAGCCATAAACCTCCATTCTTTGTGATCATCCTGTCTCCTGGGGTAAAGCAGCTGGTGTCACAGGCAGGTTGGGGCCTGATCTCGTCTTCCGTGTGGGAAGCAGGTCCTCTGTTCCTCTGTTTGGGGACCGTGGGGAGGGCAGAGAGCACTGCTGGAGGAAGTCAGCTGGCAGGGATCAGTATAGGGTCCTTAGAAATACTGAGGCTCTGAGCTCCTGCTCAGCACCACAGCTGACAGCCATGCCCACAGGCAGGGGGAAGGAACACACCTTCTTCCACATGTGGGCTTCTCTGCCCACTGCGGTGCCCCCACCTGCTGGTTTTGCACCGGAGCCAACTGGCTCCCTTACTGCCCGCTGCTGCACAGGGCATTTTCTGAATGAAGGAGCACATTTGACTCCAGGGCAAGTGAGGTGAGCTTGTTCTGTGAAGGACCAGAGGGTAAGTGTCCTCGGCTCTGCGGCAACCACTCACCCTGCCTCTGGAGCAAGGAGGCTGCCAGAGACCACACAAGTGTGTGGACATGGCTGTGTGCCAATAAAACTTTCATATTTACAAAAACGGTCAGTGGGTCACTGTGTGCGATGCCTGCTCTGGGAAACAGGACAAGAAACTCTCTCCTGTTCTATTCAAAAGGACTTTTAAGCAAAGCTTTCTTCCCCAGGACATGAGCCTCATGAGGGCAAGGAATTCACGTACCTCATCAAGCACATGGTAGGCACTCAGAAAACTCCTGCGCCGTGCTTGCAGTGGCTCTGAACTCAGAACTTCCTGTCTGGCCCTCAGTGAAAGCGTCTGTCCCAGTTGTGATGTTTTATGCAGCCAGATGCTGAGCTAAGCACATCATGCTGCTTCATTTAACACACATGTGTAAATGCTCATCCACAGACACACTCATGAACCACCCATAAGATGAGCCATTTTCCCTCTTTACAGATGAAAGAACTGAGGCTCAGAGAGTTGGCTAACAGCACAATTCCCTGCACATAAACCTGCACTCAGCAGTGCTGAGTGGTCAGTGGCTGAGGAGGCCCCTGGGAAGGATGGCTGGTCTCTGCTCACCTGGTGACCCAGGCCAGGCCCTTCTGCCTCATGCGTCAGTCTACCCAGCCAAACACTGGGACAGCACTGGCACATCCACTGCCAACCAGGGGATAAAGAGGCCACAGCCATCGGTTTTGGAAGATTGGTGACAAAGCCTCTGCATTAATGGATGGCATTATCTTTGTCATCACTGATGTGCTGGCATTGGTGATGCCTGTCCCCGGACACTATGGAGCCTTTCCAGTGCAGTCTCATGGGAGGTGATCTTACTACCCACCATCAATTGCTCCAGAAATAGAACATTTCTGCTTAATAAATGACAAGTACCAGCCAATAAACAAGAGTAAACACACTAGGGAGACCCTCATCTGTCTTCACAGCTGAAACCTACACAGGGACATCCTGCAGGAGAGGTGCAGCTCAGAAAGCAGCAGACAGAGTGTTCTCAGAAGTATCTGCACCATGACAGGAAGGTGAGGGGGGAAGAGGCCAGGCAAGGCAGCAGGTGAGGCCGGAGGGAACTGGCATACAGGAGCACATGGCAGGGTGAGGCTCAGGGGTGCCTGGGGCTGCAGCTCTTCCTGGGCTAGAGGTGGTAGCTGGGTGCAGGTGGGGACACTCAGAACACTCCTCCCTTGCTGCACTGTCTGGGCTGTGAAGCTCATAGCCAACACTGCTTGGACTCCCTTGCAGCTAGATTCCTGGGCAGTGGGTTGCACCCAGGAGATCAGAAAGCCAAGGTGAGCTGAGGTGTTTGTTGTCTTGCCTCTTGGCACATTTCTGGTGGCAGGCAGGTCTTGGGCACCTGCACCAGCTCAGGGGTATAGAGAGGAAAGGGGATCGTGGGGAGCAGCAGCTGGACTCTGTACCCCAACATCACCAGCCAGGCCAAGAGGGCTGCAGCAGCAGCAACACCAACTGCCTGGTTCTCACCCTAGCCACAAGTCCTTCACCTTGGTATAGACCCAGTGGGTTCATGATGTCCTCCTTCCTGATGGGCAGAGCTGAACACTCCTTGTGGACCAGACTGGCCAGCTCTGGGAGATGTTCTTGGGGGTCTAGCTCTACTAGCAATTTAGAAAGCACCAGATCCTGTAGATTAAGTTACCTTTGTGCTGAAATATCCAGAGTGGTGAACTGTCCCTGCCCCAAGCTCTGGGGGTGCAAACAGTCAGAGCCAGAATGAGCACATCTGAAGGTTTCCCTGCTCACAGAATTGTTCTGTTCCTTGGGAGAGTTTTTTCTCTCCTTGGTCCTAGAGCCTGAGGTCAGAGAGGGCTATAAACATGGCATTAGGGATTGGAGTCTTGTCAGCAGCTCAGGTACCAGCTGATATTCACAGTACCCAACATGAAGTCTGCGCTTCTCAGACCAAATTACAGGGATCCTTTCTTAAGCGATATCCCATACCTGCTGCAATGATAACACCATTGACCTTTTCTGTAGCATGGATACGCGCCCACACTGCTTTACTCAGGGCAGCAGGACTGTGGGGCTTCCTTTTCCTATTTTTGCCTGTTTGATCACCTTTATTGCTCTGAAGTTGTATTAGACAGTAATACATTGTGACCAGCTTTTTAGGCCCCTAGTCAAACATGCTTCTTCTAGGAAATATTCCCCGATGAGACACATTTATTCCTCTATTTCTGGGAGGCAGTCCCAGGCTCGGATCAATTTCTCACAGTGCTGGGAAGCAGAAGAGATTCTTGTCAGGGAGTAAAGTATAGTAAAACACAATGAAATATGACAGCAAGTGTCATTGTTTTAGAAGCAGCACCCACAGCTCTGCAAGCAAGCAGAGCACAGAAAAGAGCAGACTGGAGGGCGCTATGCCCCCCGTCCCCAGTGGGTTGGCATGGGAAGGGACAGCCAGGTTTCTCACCCTTCCAAATCCCAGGTCAAGGGCTCAGAACACCCCAAGTTGTTCTGGCACAGGAAGGGAGAACTGAGAGGAGGGCATGGGTGGCCTGAGACTGGGTAGAAGTCTCCGTAGAGCACGGCAGGTGGGAGCTGGGAGGGAGGCTCTGGTCTGAGTCTGCAGAGTCTGGTGAGTGGCATGAGGCCACCCAGCTGCCTGTGGGCATGGCGTATGACCCGCCTTGGTCAAAGGTGTGCACGTGGAGGTCGGGGCTGACAAGCTAAAGTGGCTGTGCAGTTTTGTCCCCAGAGCCTCAGCCCCACCACGGAGTAGCACATTCCCCAGGAGAGAGGCACGGGACCTGTGGCCCAGGCACCAGGACGCCAGGGCACGTTGCCCCAGACAGCTGGTCCTGGGCTGTGTGTTACTTAGCACAATGCATCAGGCACTGCCTAATACATCCGATTTGCTGGAGCCCAAAGCTGGCCTTGTCCCACCCAGCTTCCTCAGAGTTAGAGAGCTCTGAAAAACCATAAAGTTTCCCCGAGTTAAAGCTCTGCTGCCATTCTTATTAATTCCCTCAAATTCCTCTTTCTTTTTATAACCACAACTAAGTCTTTTTTCTCCCCTTTTTCTTTCCTTGTAGACACAGAAGAGAACCAAGGAAAATAACCAAGATTTCAGCTCCATTAATTTTTCAGGGCACCATAAATTAAAGAGCAATTGCAATGCAGTCAATTTCTGTAGGAAAATAAGTCTCCATGATTGTGCTTTGGTCTAATTACATGGAAAGCTAAGTAGCACTATTAATACCCAGCAGCAATGCTGTCCCCAAGGAGGAGGCTGGAGTAGAGAGGCAGCCCACAAGGCCAGGGAAAGGCAGGGAGCCCGACAGCAAGCTGACCTTGGCAGGGAGGCCAGGCCCCAGCAGTCAGGAGGCTCCCTCAGAGGTCTCTGACCTGGCTGATCACTTCGGATAGAAATTTGCCATCCATCCATCCATTCATTCATCTAACCAGCCACCATGCATCATTCAGCCACCCACCCTCCTCCCTCCCGTGCACCCAACTGTCCATACACCCACCCACCCCAAACCCACAACTGTGTCCATCTTCTCTGCCATCTACCACAATACCCACCTATGCATGCACACATCTATCCATTTACTCATCCACCCAACCTTCCCTCCATCCATCCAGCCATGCAGCCAGCCAGCTACACATCCATCCATCCAACCATGCATCCTTGTGAACTAGAGGAGCTGGGGATACTTTACACCTGCCCTGTGCACACCTGTGCCCACAGGTGTGAGCACCTCCCACACCCATATGTACACACACAGTGCCCACAGATGGAACAGAGAATCCAGAGATGCCGCCCCGAAGATGATGTGATGCAGCCACAAGCCAAGGGATGCAGCAGCCACTGGAACCTGGGAAGGGCAAGGACCAGTTTCCCCGGAGCCTGCAGACACCCTGATTCCCCCCAGAGATGCCACGTTCCAAATTCTAGCCTCTGGAACAGCCAGATAACTCATTTGTGGTACGTTAAGATGTCCAGGGACCATAGGAGCTCACGAAGGCCCTGACCCCCGGCTATGGTGCCTCTTCCTGCCTCCATTTCCAGGGAACCTAGCTGACCTCCTTCCCCACACACCAGCCAGTGCTCTCCCACCCGCTTGAGCTGCCCCGGCTGCCGCACACTGGGAAGGGTGCTGGCCTGTGGGAAGGTGCCAGATTCCTTTGAGACATGGGGGATACAGCTCCTGGTGGGGGCCCTGACTGCCCCTGGATGATCCTCTCACCTGGTATCTGGGTGAAGGCAGGGACTGGTGAGGCTGGCAGGGGAGGGTAGGCAATGATCCGAAAGTTGAAGAAGCCAGGGTGAGAGAGGAGAGGCAAACAGCAATGACCCCATCTCCACTATGACTTCCTGACCCCGTCTCTACCTGGCCTAAGTCCCACCACGCTGCCGGGGGTGACTCCAGATGCTGCCCCAAACAGGCCCCAGCTGCACCAGCCCAGGATGCTGAATCCCTCTGATGGAAAAGTCAGCTTCCGTGCGGACATCCGTGCACTCGGGCGCCTCCCTGAGGGCTGCTGATCCCGGAGCCTAGACAGCCTGCCCCGCACCCTCCTACCTCGCTCTCCTCGGTGTAGGCCAGGACCTTGTCCTCGTCCTTGGGGTGGAAAAGGAGGGTCTCCACGAGGAACAGGATGGGCTGCCTCTGGAAGCTGGCGCCCTCGTCAGTGCTCAGGAAGAGGCTCTGCCCACGGTCGCTGAGTGAAGAGCTCACCAGGATGATCTGAAACGGAGTGGGTGTGAGGCCTGGTGCGGGGGCCAGGGAAAGGGCGTGAGGAAGAAGGTGCTGGCCACCCCACTCGCCCTGCGGCTCAGTGCTAACCGCAGTCCTTCCTTCCTCCCTTCATTCATCCGTCCCCGTCGTCCCCTCCCTCCTTCCTTCATTCCCTTATTGTCCACTCATTCATCGCCTCCTTCACCCACACCCTCATTGACTCATCCCTTCCTTCATCCACAGGATCCCCCAGTGGCCCACACTGCTGAGAAGGCTGAGGCTTCACTCTGAACCAAGGCCCAAGGTCTCTGCCAGAGCCCAGAATCCACTCTGGGGGAGCTGGGACAATGGGCACGTCACCCACATGTCCGAAACAGATTTGGGGATCATCAGCACCTCCCGGAGGAGCAAAGCAGGACAAGGGTGGGTAGGCCTGGATGATAGGGGGACAGGGGCTGCCTGCGGCAGAGGACAACACTGGGAGCTCAGGGGCTGGGGAGGGCAGGGGTAGAGGAGGGTGGCAGAGTCCCAGCCCTGAGGACTGGGGTGCACTGCGTGGGCTGCATAGTGTCCCCGGAAAGACAAATCCACACCTCGCCCCCTGCTAGAAACGCAACCTGGTCCAGACATGGGATCTTTGGCAATGTGGTCAGGGACCTCGGATGAGACCTCCCTAGACTTGGGGCGGCCCTAAGTCCAGTGGCTGGTGTCCTCAGAGAGATGGGGAAACAGACATGGCAGTGGCTGAAGACCCCGGAGGGCATGTCTGCAAGTCACGGAGGACCTGCACTGCTGGCCACGCCTGATGCTGGAAGGCACAATGCAGGGACATCCCCCACCGTCACTGGCCACGTCCCAACACACGGTGCATCTGCCTCTGGGCCGTGAGAGGACCAGCTTCTCGGCCCCAGGTGCACTCAGGGTGGCCAGGGAGCCTGGCAGTGGGGAGGGGTGCACCAGGTCACAGAACCACAGCGTCCTGGGTGTGGGGGAGATGGGTCCCGAGGGCCATGCAGGACAGAGGTCATGTGGGGGCCATGCCTGGATGGAGTGGGGACCCAGTGGGGACGCAGTGTCTCCCCCCCTGCAGTGTCTACACCACACCCCCCTGCAGCGCATTCGCAGTGACAGTGTCCTCCCAGGGGGTGGCCTGGGCGCTGTGCGGCTTTCAAGTCGGCCACAGGCGCTGTGAAGAGGCCGAGGACTCCCACGGTGCCCTGCGTCCCCCAGGCCTCCGTGGGCAGCGCCATGGAGTGCTAGCAACACAGCGGGGGACGGGCAGCCCTCCCTGGCCACGCTCGGCCACAGCCCCTTCCATTCGCCTCCACTTCTGCGTCCTGCTTCCCTAGACTGCGCAGGGTCCCCCTGGCCTCATGGCCGCACAGCCAGCGAGCTGGGGTCCAATGAAAACGGCCCAGCGCAGGGCCTCGGGGGGTGGCGGGGCCAGCACTGTCGGTTCCAGCCCCTGTGGGTCGGGGTCAGGTTAGGGTTGGCAGAAAATCGTGGCTTCTCCTGGGCTCTCACTTCCACGAGGCCTCTGGACTGTCCGCCGTTAGGACGGGGCCACACCTGGGTCACCGCTCCGCGTCCCCACCCTGGCGGGGGCAGTGCCTGGTGCGAGCTGGGGCTCTGTGCATCAGTGGAATAAACTAGAAAACCAAGGAATGAAGGAGGACTGTGTGCTTGTAGCTTGGGGCCGGGCCCACACTCCATCAGGCAGGGTGGAGTCCCACACGTGACCTCAGTGGAGGCTACTTACGGGTCTGTACCTCAGTTTCTTCATTGGTCACATGGGGAGAACAGCGTCATTCCCTCCCACTATGCCCGACACCCCGTGAGCCTTCGGGGAGCAGTGATCATGAGGACAGCCAGACTGCACAAGGGGCTCTGAGGGATTCCCTGTGCTCGTGTCTCCGCCTGCAAGAGGGGGAAACCGAGGCACAGAGAGAGGAGGCCAACTGTAAGGTCCTGACACAGCCAGTCGGGATGGGGCCAAGGCCAGGACGGTGATCCCAGGGGCGTTGTCCCTGGGTCTGGAGCCCGGTGGGTGCACAGGGTGGTAGCCCCGCCCAGAGAGAGCTCGACCTCCAGGTAGTGGACACAGCCCCGCGATGGCCTCCCAAGTCACCCCAGCCACCCTAAGCAAGCAGCTGTCACCCTGCGCTGTCCCTCCCTGGGTCTCCAGCAGCATTAACTCATCTCCTCCAGCACAAAACCCTCCTTTCCCCAGGAACTGGGGTCCGCAGGACATGGGCGTGGCTCCACAGAGACCACTCTCGGGGCGACTGCACTCCCTGCCATGGGGACAGGCGGGCGTCCTCTCAGACACCTCCCCAGCCCAGGTTGTACAGAGGAGTTCACAGAGGGACACCCAGCACCGAGTGTTCCTGCATTTACAGGGACAAAACTATAAGGTGGTGTGTCGTGTACTGCCTGGGGTGAGTGCGCAGTAAGAAAGCATGATTCTGTCAATAGAAAATGCACAGAAACAAGGATGGAAGGCAAGAGAGGGGCAGCTGTTTCCAGTACCGGGACTCAAACCAAGGGCTCCGTGCATACCAGGCAAAAGTTCTACCGCTGAGCTACGTCCCTGGCCATTTATTCATTCACTCATTCGTTGTCATGAAACAGGGTCTCGCTAAATTGCCTGGTCTGGCCTTGAACTTGCCACCCTCCTGTCTCAGCCAGCCAGGCAAAAGTTCTACCGCTGAGCTACGTCCCTGGCCATTTATTCATTCACTCATTCGTTGTTATGAAACAGGGTCTCGCTAAATTGCCTGGTCTGGCCTTGAACTTGCCACCCTCCTGTCTCAGCCTCCCAATGAACTGGGATTACAGGAGTGCACCACACCGGCCTTTTGTTTGGTACAGGGGATTGAACTTAGGACCTTCCGCTTGTGAGGCAGGCGGCGATACCACTAAGTCCCCAGCTGCACTGGCTATTTTTTAAGTAAACTTTCCTATTTAGAGTGATTTCTGATTTACAGAAAAAAAGGCAAAGATAGCACAGAATTCTTCCATGTCTTGCACCCAGTGCCCCTGTTACTAACCGCTGACTTTACCATGGTACATTTGTCACAACTAGGGCACCAGCATTGGTATATTAGTATCTCTAGGCCAGTGATGGCGAACCTTTCAATGATACAGACAACCCGCTGTGGCACCCGTGCCGTGCCCTAGGTTCACCACCGCTAAAGTAAGTGGTGAGTCCAACCTTGTGATGGGCCTGGGCTGCACCGAGTGAAGAGGAATTATTTTGGGCCCCATATAAATATATACTATAGCTAATTAAATGGGCAGCGGGACTCTGTACATTTTAACTCACTGCTTTAAGAAACAGCACCAAGGCCCAAGTTTGACAATTAAATCAGAAACCTCACATTTGCTTAATGAACGCTGTGTTCACACGCACACACCTGTGCACATGGGCGGAAACACTATGATTGCCACGTCCACGCCAAACGGTATATGGCGCACACTGGCTTTGACTGGGCTGACCTGCCCATGTGTGGGAGATGGGCCAGGCCTGCACGGCCCCGGTCAGCTGTACAGTCTGTGCCCTGACACCGTGCAATGGAGTCGTAAGAAAGAGCGCTGAAAATCACACAACAGCGGTCGCGGGCCGTGGGCGGGACATAGCAGACGCGAATGCCACGCTGTGGTCAGATGTCCACTTCGTAGCCTTTCCCTTCCTGTCCTAGCACCCCAGCCGGGCTGCCCGTGACTCGGAGTTCCTCACTTCTGTCTCCTCAGCTGAGTCCTCAGCTTTCCTTGCTTGGGCGTCCTGGATAATTTTGAGGGGCACAAACCGATTTCTTGGGGTGTCCCCAGTGGGGACTGGTGCTGCTCCGGGTGCACCTGGGGCCGTGGGGTGCCCGGGAAGAGCCCATCCGAATCACAGCACGTGGGGCACAGCATCACCAGGACCCAGCACTGCGGGACAGTGCTCCCCCTCCTTCCTCCACACTGTCCTCTTCGGAAGGAAATCGCCGTGCACACCCCACACCCAAGGACCAGATTCAGGCACAGCACCCTGAGGATGCCGCAGCTGTGTGAAGTATTTGGGACTCTTATGTTCGGGAGGTTTGTCTCTTCTCCTCTACCATTTACTTATTTAATCCTTTATTCATGCCACTAGGAACTCATGTATATTTATTGTCTATATTGAGCTGTAATTCAATGCTATTTTGTTTATTTTTGAGACAGGGTCTCACCATGTGTCTCAGGCTGGTCTCGAACTTGCAGCAATCCCCCTGCTTCTGCCTCCCAAGTGCTGAGGTTACAGGAGAGCACCTCTTTGTCTGGCTACAGTGGATTCTGATATTGCGTGCTGGGTTCATCGTCCAGCTCTGGCTCTTGGGAGCTCTTGCAGCTTGGCCCCGTGTCCCTCTGGTGCCAGCCACTGACCTTCCCTAAATACCCAGCACCGTGTGCCGGGGCCCAGCATAACGGGAGAGAAGGAATGGGTCGCACACTCTGTGCCCAGGAGGTACACGGCCACACAGCGGGCTCCAGCAGGGCCATCACCCGGGGCCCCAACTCCCCACGCTGAAGCAGTGCTCCCCAGGTGACCACTTTCTTGCACCCCGGCCCCCAGCAGCTCAGGCCAGGTGAACCCAGGCTGCACCCCAGTTTTTCGAGACCATCCGCAGCCTGTCCGGCGGTTCCCACTCTCTCCCTGTGGAACATCAGGGCCAGGACTTAGAATCCAGCCTTGGCTTCCAACGTGACACAAAGACCACATACAATAAAATGAAGATATCTCCCCTCCATTTCCTCAAACACGCAATTCCAGGGCGCCTCAGCGAACCCATGTGGTCCTCCTCTCCTTCTGGGGCCCCTGCTTCATGGCGGCTGCTTCCCCTTCCTGTGGAGGCTCCCACGATGCGACCCCCTCCATCAGCCTTCCTGGTGCAGTCGCCCCTTTCCCCACTTGTCCATCTGCAAGGCTCAGTGGCCCCTGGCGGCCGCATTCAGGGCTTCTGCCCACGCAGCCTGGTGGTGCCCGG